AGTCCTAACTTATATCAATATTTATCTTTGTGTGTGTGTGTGTGTGTGTATAATGAAGAGAGAGAGACAAAGAAAGACACAGCTACAGAACAAATATCCAAATCATAAGATGGATGGATCATTATGTCATGATAAGAAAATTTTAATTAAATCCTTTAAATTATTTTATATTAAGTAAAAAAACCTGTTTGTATAAATTTGAAAATAGTTTTTTACACAATATTATAACATACACAGTAAAAAATAATTTATTGTAGGGGAGATAATTAGAAATGTTTTCTTGGATATTTTTATATCATATATAAGTGGGCCAATATAGTCACACCACCTACCCTATATAAGACCTGCCACTTTGTGGATTTCTTTAGTATCATCAGAGATACAGATAGTAGCATGGAAAGGGTGGATAATAGGAGCTATACTAATAATTGTGGTCAGACTTAGCTAATAACATCTTAATGTCCTGGCATTTATGTCCAAACATAATATTGTGTCCTGTTTATTTCATAAGTCAATACTAGTGCAATTTATCTACAGTACTACTAATTCAGTTAAATTAGTGCGTTACTACTATAATGGGGGCTGGAATGCTAACCTCAGGAGGTAAGTTTATCTAACTTACCCCCAAGTGGTAGTACCTTATTTCATTTTTCTTTTTTATTATTCTTTTACTTTGGAGAGCACTCACCTTCCTACAACTGTTTGCAGGCAGTGAAGGGTGATATAGATGTGGGACGTTGTGGGCTTGAGCACCCACATCTTTCTCTCCTAACTTGCATTTCTTTTGATGATTTTATTTGATTTTTTTATGAATTTCTTCACGTGAGACTGACAAATGGAGGTTAAGACTGATAGACAGTGTATCCCCACAGCAATGTGGGTCCTACTTCCGCAGTCATCTCCAAAACCCAGTGCACATTTTATATTCCACATTATAGGGGATCCCTTTTAATTTATGCATAGTCTTTAATTTAATTTTTATTTTAGTTTGGGTTTGTTTTGTTTATTTAAATGTCATTTGTCACAAGTTTTAATTTGCTGTTTTTAATGCAGTCCTTCCTTTCTTTTGATTTTATTTTGTTTGACTGTGTAAATATTAATTTTTTAGCTTCAATGACAGTTTTGCCGTCTTCCCCGTTGATTTATTGTATAGTTTTATTTATTTCTTATTAATGTTTTCATTTTATTTATCTAATTCTGTGATCAACCACCTTCCCCCTCTGGCTGCAGATAGCGAAAGATGTGGGAATTTGTGGGCTAGAGCAGCCGTATTTGCTCTTTATTTTTATTTTTATTTTACTAAGTAAGTGTGGCCGGCGAATTTGAGGTTGAACTCAATAGATGGTGTACCCCCAATGCAATTTGGGTCTTTCTCCCGCCAGTACCTCAAAAAAATCCAGGCAAAATGTGAGATAGCAAATTCTATTTTTTGTAATGGTTTTTGTTTATCGTTCATTTATTATTCCTTCTATCGTTTAGTTTATCTATGAATTTTTAGTTACATTAAAACACCAACTCACCTTCTAGCTGTTCACGTTTATTTAGAGTAAATATATATATGTATGATGAAACTGACACCAGCTTCCCTAATGGTGACGTACTGATATGATTAAAGTAGCAAAAATTATATAAAGTACGATCACATGATACGTATTCTGGTGACCTAATCTATAAAGAAATACCCTGCCATAAGCTTCATAAACTGAGTCACGAGATACTGAACGATATAGTTTTTGCTGTTTGTTACTTGATATTGTTATTAATATTGAAAGGTATTTTTAGAATATTGTGTTGTTCTATGTTTTGGAATTAGTTTCTTCTTCTTCTGGTTCTTGTTCCTGATTCCATTATTCGAAATACTTAATACTGATATCTATGTTTTATTATTATTATTAGCATTACTGGCAAGCCCTGGCCAGGTACGTATTTATTAACTGTGTTTTTGGTAAGTGTTGTTATAGTTGAATATATAATATTTTTTATTGAACCATGGTTGTAGCAGCGTGTTCATTTGGATCGTTACAACACTGCATAATGACCCACCTAAAGATTTGTGCCCTCGTGTTGGATATTTGTTTTGTGGTTGCATTTGCTTGTTTTTCTCCCCCTCTCCATTAAATTACATTTAATTATATGTATATATTATGACAAACTTATGATTCTTCTTACGATAACACAAGACAATGATTACAAGAATGTCTTTTGTTTTCAAGACATTAAAAATAAACTAATAGACAGCATCGATTCGTATTGATCTAAACACGTAATAATGAATGTATACAAAATTTACAAAATTATATCCGTGACAAACTATTCATGCCATTTTATGTTATCAGGTAATGATAAACTACAAATGCAAGTGTTTTTCAATGTTATCATATTATCATAAACTATACATGCTAGTGATTTTTTTTTACAATTTTATCGAACTGTGATAAATTATTGATACCAAATTATAATGTTATCAGACTACGAGAAATTATCCATGTTAGTTAATTTTTTGTGTATTGTCAGACTGTCATAATCTATTAAAATCAACATCTCTAAACTATCTATGCCACCTAATCACCTGGTTTTATAATACAAAGAGATTATAAACAGAATTTTAAATATCAAATTAAATACAATATATTCCACTCACGTTTTGTATGTCAAAGTGAAGCACTGTATTTAAATAGGAAGTTAGAACTGTGTAAAAACCAAATAGTGTAAAGAATTTGATAAGAGTAAGGATCAACACCGCACGAGATGTGATAATCTTTTTCCACGGTACATGGCGCTTCTGACAGGAGAAATAAAGAAATGCTACAAGCAATCTCGAATTCAAATTATTTGCCAGAACAAAATGTCGCCATCTTTAAAAAGTAAGATTGCAATAAATATAGTCTAAATCTTCTCATATGAAAATAGTTTAACAACAATTGAATTTGACTTCTTGTAAAAATTAGATAAATTGTTGAAAGTTTACCAAAAAGTTTATAAAGTACAATGTAGCTATATTTTCACGCGATTTACGTTTCGAGCCTTCCTCACCGAAAATTTCTTAATCAGTATAAGGAGTAAATTTAGGCTGATTGTTACGGTTTTAAACGTCAAAACATGACGGAGCAATAGAGATCAATAGACCTAAAATTTGTGATAAAACTAATGTAAATATAGATGTCTTTTTTTTTTCACCACAATATTATTCACATACACAAATTAATTTAGGTTATTAAATAGTGAGTGAAAAGGACTTATAATGCCCTTGAATATTATATACCCACCGCCAATGTAATAGGTCTTCTTGTATATCTTTGGTTTGCTGACGAACTCTCTGCTGGTGAGCTTTGAATAAGCAGAAGGAAAGGCAAAAAATAATATATTATGCCTTTACGTCAGAGATTGTTTTAAAGTTTGCTTTAGGTGAAAATAAATCTGTAATATAATCATTAAACAGTTGGTCCGTTATATAATACCGAATAACAGATTTATGTAAAAACCACAATTTTACTTGTATTCCTCAACTTGTTTAGTTTACTAAATAGCGGAATTAAAAGGACTGAAAACCCCATAGATACAAACCTGTTAGATCAAATTTCCAAACTGTATCTTGTAAAAGCTAAAATTTTCAGAAAGACCTTTTTTATTCTTCAATATTATTTGCTCTTGTCTATCAGATGAAGGAATTGTTAACATTTTGTTTACATAAACTTATTTTCAGTAGTTTACACGTGAATTAATTCAAGTGCTTATAATGTAATTTACAAATGATAAATTTCATAACTGTGTACAAATATTATGTAGTTATATTGGAACTGATGCACTAAGCCTACTAGTAAGGAAACGGAAAAACGTTAATATCACTGATCACTTTAAATTATTAACTTTGTCTAGAGTGTTATAACTTGTATGAATAGATATTGATTCTTGTACAATTTCATCGTAATATTTCTCCTGGCACATTGGTTGAAGTAGAAATGAGTACTGAAGGACATGCTGATTCTTATGTGTTAGATATAGCACAATGAATCTCATATGATGTAAGGATGCAGCCATAGAACCATCAGTGTTGTCATGCTCAGGTGAGGTTGGTTAGAATTATGTTGATGTATGACAATATCCTCACCCCCGTCTCCAATATATTCAACTGCTCATTAACATCCTGGCAGATGAGGATATTGATTTCATTGGACTGGCAAATAATATCAGACTTGTAACCAACTGAACGTGTTTAGGGAGGCTTTGTGAAGACACTTGGCAGTATGTGATTCATATCCAAATAGTGTTGATGAACTGGAAGTTGCTCTGAAAGAGAAGAGGGAAATTTTTCCACAGCAGCTCAGATTCATTCATTTTAAGATTATCATATCCGGTTCAAATTTTCATTAGTATTAGAGATGATCTATGCTTTATTAAGAAACATGTTCTGATCACTTACTGAGCTGCAAAGTCTGAGTTAGCGAATGAACATTTATAGACATGGACCCCCAAAAGTGGAATTTTAGATATCACAATACCTGACTGATCACCTGACATTTGTTTTGCATGAAGATAAGGACAGAACTGCTTCTGAGGGTTATTTTTTCTTATTTGAATAAAATTATTCACGTATTTTAAATACGATATTAAAATTACAACTAATTTTATAGTATGTTTCAATTTGTTATCCCTTTTGAGAGTATATTTTATATCACTGCTATTTATTTGTATTACCAGATTACAACAAAATATCATGTAGTTCGATGCTCAAATGTAAAAATGAGATCTACGCCAGTGTATAACATGCATTCAAAGTAGACCTGTACAGAAGAATAGATACAAGATGACTGTACTTTAACCTCCATATGTAATAAATCAGATAACACGTTCTGAGGGAAACAAACTACAGACAGCGGCTGTCATGATAACTATTTCACTATTTTTCAGAAGTATATGCATGAGATACAAACATTGAAGGCATCGACTACCCAGTTAAAATATAAGTTTAAAGTTTTCTAGTAAACTTTATATTTCTTTACCTGACTCGATCTTTTTCCTGATTGGCGATGTTTTAAAATATAGCTTCGTTCTTCTTCACTCATGTATGGATGTTCTTCAGGGCTATTGTGGACATACCACATCCAAAACACGGACCACAGACACCCAAGACTCCCTTCAACGAAAATAGTCACTATACAATTGTATTCAAAAAATAATAATATTTTTTGTTTGGAGAGTGTGTGTGTGGGTGGGGGGGGGTCTATTCACAATAAAAATGCGAAATTCGATGCACGTGCCACAATCTAAGAAATCTAAAACGTTAAAGTTCACAAGGTGACATTGATTTACCACGTGGTTCACCCTGTAAGGAAAAGATCGTAACTTATTTAATTTCCAACAGAAAATAAAGAACATTGCAATAAACACAATCTACATCAAATATTTCCACAAAAATAATATATAATAGCTATTAATTTCATATGGCTTTAAAATAAACAATATTACGATAAATAATATTGACGACATTGTACGTTGCATACCAATGAGTTTCATAACATGTTTCTATACAGTTGCTAATGGGTAGAGTTTAATTAAAATCTATCTCATTGTGTGAACTGAGTTTATTTAGAATTTATTACTGATAATGTTGGAACAAAATAGCGTAAACCAAGTTTTCGACGGCACGTTTTCTATTATTTCTTTAATAGCAAAAAGTTGGAGAGAGTCTAGAGTAAAATTTGTATATGATAAAAGAGAGCGCGTATAATGTATTGAACTGTTGGAGAATAAATCGGAAAAAATTTCAGAGTTTCCTTATAAGATAGCCAATAGAAGACAGTTTACAATGAGATATATATAATGATTAGAAATCAACATAAAACCGTATTTTCTATCTTATCTGTTACCACTTCGTTCAACCCCAAAACTCTTGAACGTTTTAAAGTGACCAAGAAGTACAGTAGCTTCAATTATAAATATTTTAATATATTTAGATTAAAATGCTAACATCTAGAAAACATACTATCGTAAACAGTTTTTATCAGATGTATATACAAAGCTATTACAAAAATGAAACGAGGAGCATCATTACCTGTTATCATTTTTAGAACAAAAATATTAATTGTTTCAAGAAAAATTTAGAACTTGTACAATAATGAAATCATAATTTACAAATCAAAATAGGTTATCAGCACACCTTTGAACAATATTAGAAAAAAAAACACACACGGCCTAAAAAATGAATGTTAGATAAACAATTGTTGTTTACCAAAACACACAAAAATATCAAAGGTTCAAGTTTGTTTACAAAACTGTTGGTGTGGTTTGATGGACTTATATTCTGAAGAATTGTTCTACTTTTCCATACGTAAATAAACCCATATTTAGAGTGGGTGAAACACCTCATCTGAGAAGTTGAGAGGCTTTTTAGACCTAACATCTGTAATCAAGCTTAATTTTATCATTTTTTTAGACCTATAAAAAGTATGTTTTAGATAAGACTTGCTCTATTACCGTAAAAATAAAAAGCATACTTCCATCCTAGATGCTTGCAGATGATACCAGGAAGAGGCATAGTGATTAGCAAGCCAAACATGGCTCCTTGTCCAGTGACGACCACTAACACTGACCGTTCATGCACAGGAACCCAACTAGCCAGGAGAGCATACTTGGCCGGAACTATAACTCCCTAAACAATATCAAACATTTTTTAGAAAACAGAAAATTACTCCGAAATTACTTATTTATATATACAAAAAATAAAACTTGACTCGCGATTTAGCCAAAATTATCTAAGTATGAGTTTTTGTTGTTAAGCATAAAGCTACATAATGGGTTATTTATGATGTGTCCACCACGGGTATCGAAAACAAATACCCGTGCATTATAAGTCCTCAGACTTATCACTCAGTCAGTGGGTGGAGTTTGTAACTTGCCATTTAATTAATAAGAAATAAATTCAAATAATACATACAGTTTTCAATTGATCTTTCGTAATCAAGATAACATGAAAAAACACGAAAGAGCATAAATCTATATGAAGTTTCATTTGTACATCTTATAACTGTATAACAGACTCAACCCATATCTTGCTAATCTTCTAAGAATTACTCAACCTTTCCCGTTCCTTCTATGACTCGAGCCGCCACTAGAGGGCCGATTCCCAACTGAGCTGCAGATGGTTCCAGGAGAGTTAACAAAGAGGCTCCAAACACACCCATGCCTATCACCCATTTCGCCCCAATGATCTCCGCCAGTCTTCCACCTAACAACTGTGTCGCAACAAACCCATAGTACTCAGCCCCAAGCACAATTCCTTGTTCTTTTTCATCCCACAAAAAGCTTCCGTCCTTTGTTAGAGAAAAATACTATTTGAGCACAGTAAAGGATAGTTATAAAAGTAATCCGAAATTGTTGGTTTATTCCATTTTCTCTGTATTCTCTCACGTTTTTGGTATTTTATTCATAAGATATAAAACAACATCGAACGACAATTTTCCCATTAATATGCCAATAAAATTGCGTGTAAAACTTCAATGTATAGCACAAGACATTTCGAGACATTTACTGCATCATTTAATGTTTTTGATTAACCACAGTTCATGCATTTTGGATGTAGAAATATTTTTATATTTGTATACATGACTAAAGGCTACATTATAGTATTTAACTGACAGTTTAAGTTTAAAATTATAGTTCTACAATCATTTTATTTTAATTACGTAAATAGTAACAAACACACACAGTCTACTGAGAATTTTATCAATAATATTAGACCTATTGATTCCATTTTTTTATAGGCTTTTGACGTTTAAAATCTTCTACTGTTTCTCAACGTTTTTGTTATATTGTTGTAACTAAGTATCAGATAACGTAATGCACAGTCTGGTACATTATAATATGTAGCATGTAACACTGTTCTTTTGAGTTTGTTCTTGTGTTCCTTCCTTCGATGTTAAGATTATTTACATAGTTTAAAATACTTCTTTGAAGAGATATTTCAAGCAAAATGTCTGTACTAAGAAACAAGATTTTCTGGAGTTACTTCGTATATTTTTATCTTTCGACATTAATTTCTAGTATCCAGAATGTTTTTTTTTGTAGGGATTATTTTACTTTTTTTTATTGTCAATACTACTAACACTACTTTCATGTTATAATAGGGTCGACAATTGTAACCGTTGGTTAAAATATTCCAACACATCTGTTTTTAAGATATTAAGTATTATCAATAATCATGGGGATAAAAGTGAAAACAGTGAAAATGTTACATATTTACCTTACATAATCGATATTTTGGATCTAAACCCTTTGTCTGTTAGGATTCTGGGAAAGTGGAATCACAGAATTGTTTGTTTGTTTCTAATTAAGGATATCGATACCAAGCGTTATAAGTCCGCAGACGTTCCGCTGTGCTGCTGGGGGCAGGATCACAGAAAGGAAAGAAAAAGTACCATAAAAGCTAGAGGAGAATTATTGAAAGTGTAAAATGAGGTTTGTAAAATACATCAAACACAGGAATTTTGGGCGTTTTTGTGTGTATAACTAAATGTATTTATACGATTTCAAAAGTATACCTTGTGTTATTATGTCAATAAAGTAATAGAAAGTGAATTGACGTATGAAAAAAAAAAACATTTTTTTCACCATCATGAAAATTGGGGAAATAATACAACAATCACATGTGCATTCAAATAGCACAAGTTTGGTTTGTTTTGAATTTCGCGCAAAGCTACTTCAGAGCTCTCTACGACAGCAGTCCCTAAATTAGCAGTGATAGACACGAAGGAAGGCAGCTAGTCAACATCACTCATCGCCAACTGTTGGGCTATATTTCTACCAACAAACGGTTGGATTGACTTTCCCATTTAAATGCCCCTCGGCTGAAGGAAAGAGCATGTTCGATAACGGTGATTCGAACCCGTGATCTACAGATTGGGAGTCAAGTGCAGTAGCCACAAAGTCGTGGATAACACACAATAAAAACAAAGTAAAATTTCTACCACCATCAAAATGGCTGCAAAAGGGTATGAGCTTGGGGGAAGATAAGTGCAGAAGTAACACTCAAAAATGAATTGGAATATTCAGTTTCTTTTTTTAATTTAATTTTAAAACTGTGGGCAGGTCAACAGTGCTGTGCTAAGTTAGAACTTCTGTGTTTAAAACCCATAACGTTCCAAGCTAACCTGCTTTTCAACATTATTAGTTGTGCTCATGCTATCAATACCATAATATCAATTGAAAATATATATCTATATCTCCCTAAAATCCTGAATCGGGTAACTCGTCCAACACCACCCGATAACAGAATATAAATTTAGATACTGTAATAAAAAGAACTGTACTACATTTCTGTTTGATTTGATAACCAGCAATACTTCCTCCCACCCTCTATCCATAAAGTTAAAACTAAATAAGTAAGACTGAATTTTGTTTTGAAAAATTTTTGGAATAAATGAAACTTGCTATATTCTAGTTAGCACACAGCACAACTACTATTATTAAATAATGTAAATGGCATTCCTGAATTATTTTTATTCAAAACAAGTGTCAAGTGATTAGTTATACGATCTGATATACATATTTCAGTGGTATATAAAAGTAAAGATAACATTGTGTTCTTAGTTTGCAGTTGAAACAACAGTAAAGTGTGCAAAGACATCCATATTGGTAATGAAATATTTCAGAACCCAACAAGGGTATTTGAATGTTTCTATAATGTTGAGACCAATCGGTCCACTAGAAACTGTTCAAATACAACAATTTGTGACGACCAATACAGTTGAACATAGCTTTATAATGGGTAGACCACCTTTGACAACCACACAAGACAATTTGTCAATAATGTCACTAGGCACAATTCATTGCAGTATTGCTACTAGTCTCACAAAGTATGGTTAACAGGATGTGAATTCGTTTTCAGATGTTCAATACAGTTTTGAACATAGATTTATACTGGGTAGATCATCCAATATGGGCTCTAGGCACTGGTAGGCCTCAACTCCTCAAATGAATTGACAGCTCACTGCATTAAACCATCAGAAACCAGTTTCATAAGGGCAGACGTTTATGCCAGACGACGTAGCTTCATAAGACTGTTCGTCTTCACTAGGAAAGGCGTACTTGTTTGAGAGAGGTCAAAACTAACTCCAACATCAAATTAATGTTCATATGGCGATAGTTGCATGTTTATTTTGGTAAGGATGAGTATTGGTGGCCACACCGACGTATTATATGTAGTCTTATAACATTAGTGTTGCCAAAAGCAGGTGCACTTTTTTCTGATGACACACACACATACACACAGATTATCTAAATGTTTAGAAACTTCTGGGAAGAAGAAGGATATGAAGAGAACTGACAAGCCAGCACACTTACGAACTTGAATCCGATTTTATACATACAAGCTGCTCTAAAAAGACGCTTTACAGCACGAAATACACCACTAAGAAGTGCTGATGAATTTTAAGCAGCTCTGAGTCGCTGTTATTAAGTTTGCTACATCAATGTACGACATGCATACTTGTTAAAAATGGTATACACTTTATTAGGAAACGTTTTCTGATCATTTATTTGCCTACAAGTTCTGTAATACCAAATGGTCATTTTTTGACATGGGGTCCAAAATATATAATTACATGTCAAATCACATAACTGGCCATCTGACACTTTTTGCATAAAACTAAACATATAAAAGCCATTGATACTACTTAACAACGTTAGTTGTGCCTTGTCCTAGCTAGAATATAGAAAACTATAATCACCCCTTTGTTATTCTTATTATTACAAATTGAGGGTGCCCGTTAACGAAGTAAAAATTATATAAAAGATAATATTTCACTTTCTTCTTTCTTTTGTTATTAAATTCCTAATGACACCATTGAATGCTAATTGCACATTCTACCTTGTGGAAGGTAATAATAGACTCATTTAATAATTAAATGCTCGTTTCTTTAACTTCAAAGAAGTGTATAAAATTTTAAAATTGCCCTATTTCTAGCTGGTTGTATCCCTCTTCTCAGGCAAAACATTTAAAACAAAATAGCCCACGTATACGGTCGGATAGTTTCCAGTTACCATGCAAAATTTTACGCTAATCGAGCCGGCCAAGTCTTGGTGATGGATGTTAACACACAGAAAGACAGATAAGCACATACATAATTGAAAATCTTCATAGTAATATTATCCCAGAATCATTTAAGCAAACTTTTAACACCAGTATTAATTTCTCCTAATAAGATAACAAAAACGTTACCAATAATAAAAGCAAGAGGCTTCAGTATAGTTTTTTAACTATCTACTAATAAATCTGCAGTTGATAGGATCTCTGCCTATTAGTGAAAAACCACAGTAAACGGAACAAACAGTCAGAATTCTGATATTAAAGAAATTAGTTTCGATACATTCGTATGTCCTCTTCTGTCTCAAACTCGGAAATATTTAAGCTGTTGGAAAATAAAGATAAATAGTTAATAACAGCTCTTTTAAGTCTTGTGAATAACGTCAACCGTATTTTTCCCTTCTCTATTTCTTACAGTTTTCTGTATCAAAATTTCTACGACATCATTGAAAGAATTCTAATGGTTTTTATTCCACTTCTATTGAAACCTTACTCTTTCATCTTCTTAGTGAGCTCTTCTATATTGGATATTTATTTTTCTCGCCTCCTCGAGCGTTCTTTTATTAGTTTAATCTTCTTTTGGAGCAAGTGTTTTGTGGGGGAATATATTATTAGAGGATTCAAAGAGTGTTGTTGAGCTTATGCTGAAAAAAGTTTTTTCTTCAGAATAAACTCTAGCATAGGTATACATCAAAGTGTTAGTTGCCCTCAAGTATAGATATAATTAGTTTTATGGCCAATTACTGCTGATAGCATTTTGGCCGAACATTTAAAACAATATAAAGAATTAAATGGAATAATACTGTAAAAACTAAGCATTCAAAATCAACTAGTATTTTTTTCATATTTGCAACAACTATTAAATTTCATAAGTTTTGCAAACTAGACAATGATGAATCAAGATGCAGTTAGGCTAGTTTACACGCTAAAGATTAAATTTTCACTAAAGACAAACACAAAATACCACTTCTGGCTGAAGTTCTTCTAATATTCTCTTTTAGTGTAGACTTCTTCAATTTCGCGCTTTGCAGATGAGAGTCAAATGAAGTAAAAATTAATGCTCAACATCGTTTTCCAAATATCATAATGCTGCATTTCGACGTACATGTTAAAATAGATTTACTTACTAGTTAACTGATACTATATAAAAATCTTTATAGAATGTAGTAGTTAAACCTTTGTATAGTCTTATTATTCTATTCCTTACATACTGTTTTTAATTATTTCACTTCGGAATATTAATACGAGTAATTAATACATACCTGCATCATTTCCATTTTACCAACGAAACGTTGTCTCCAAACATTGACACTTTGTAGAAATTATTACAAATATAACTTTAAAAGAATGATGGTATGTTAAGTTGTATAATGGTTTGGATAATCAGAAAAAGCTTGAACGTATAATACATTACGTACCTTAAAATTTGATGCAGTAAAATTCTCATTGTAGATGAGTGGATATTTTATTTTTGAAAACTAAAAATTTTTTTATTTAAAAACAACGATTATTTTATATATAATTCAATAAAATGAGATTGTTTTCAGTCTTCAAATTATTAAAATAATAACTTACTGTACAGGTTAAAAAGTGGTAAAAACCCCGATGTGACTGAAAAACAATATCATACACTCTACATGTTTCGACGTATATCTTGCGTCATCTTGAGGAATGTAAAGTTTTGCAAAAAAATAACACTAATTTATACAGTTACAAAAACACCAATTTACATATTAGATTTCACGCCATCTGCTGACAACATTTCCATCAGGTCCATCATTCTTATTCAATAATTTAAATTTACTTTTTTTACATTTAATTATCTCAATAGATTCACATGTAGAGTGTATGAGATTGTTTTCCAGTCACATCGGGATTTTATCACTTTTTATCCTGTACAGTTAGTTATTATTTTAATAATTTAGAGACTGGATTGTACTGATTTAAAGTAACTATTTGTAGGTAATTTGCTTTTAATGTTCCTCCACTTATTGCATATTTTTCAATGTTCTATAACAAATAAAACAAATTCCATAAAATAGTTCTTGTCTGTAGATTTTCCCGTATTTGATTGTGCAACAGCTTAATCACAATGTACAGAATTTATTATAAATTATTGCGAAAATTATTCAATTGTTCAACTGTTAACAATCATTCAAAAGGTAAGAAATGAGAATTATTATTTTGCACTTTAGAGAAGAAAATCATTTTACTGTGAAAATATACTAAAGACAATGACGAACAGAAAAGCTATTCAGATTGAGTCAACTGGGAAACTACAGTTAATATTTACTGTCATGTTATTATGTCACAAATGATGTTTAAATATCAATAAAATATCGATGTGGAATTACATTGACAAATTCTCTAAATAATGAAAACCATTTATCTAATATTGTACAAAACTGCAAATACGTAGTTAGGGACCAGTTTTGTTTTCCTTTGAACATTAAATAAACACCGCTAAAAATTAATATTAATAATGCTCTCGGAAGCTCACCAATAGCTCTGACGGCTAATAAGGCTAAAAATTGGCTTTTGGAGGGCACATCACATATAGCCCATTTACGTAGTTTTGTGCATAATAACAAAGCAAACATTAACATCCCCTTTTTATTCTGTATAATACACCTTAACGTACGTTTTATAACACTGTAAAAAATGCAGCATGGGATGCTGCAAAAGTATGCAATGACTTTTAGTTTTATTTACTAATTGAATATGATCTAGAGATGTTCTATTTAGGTAGCACATATATCTAACTAAAGATTATTTTGACGATTGTTTTCGATAGGAAGATGAAATGGTCAATAAATGTTTATGAAGAGTTTTGAATTTTAATAAAAACAAGATGTGAAACAAATCAGATCTGTAACCTCTATACACCTCAAGCTAGTTCAAAGATTGCTGTGTTTAATGTTATACTTGTTTTCATGTTAATTTAGGAATGCTCACGCTTTTACAAGCTACTGATTTTCAAGCAGAATGAAAAAACGTAACACGTTAAAGACAGAATTGTATGGCATTGTAGATAATAAATTACTATGTTATTTCTCATCATTTAACCTGATGACGCTCGGTTCAGTCAACTTTGAGTACTTATATAAAGTATCTATAATAGGTACTACACACTAGCAGTATCTGATAGTGACTATTCCCCTAAACATTTGAAACTGGTAAAAAACTTATGTTTCTGTTGAATAGATTTCAGAGATTCATGTGGTTTGTGGTATAATAAAAGTAACATTGTTTTACGACTGAACTGTCGAGATAGCGATTTTAACTTTCTTTTTGTGATAATACAAGGACTTTGTCGTAATTCTCAGCATAATAAACTGGTGTTTAATTTGTACTTTTAATTCGGCTTTACTCCTGTGTTTGATTAAATGATGCAGAAGTTCAACTATCAAATCGAATTAAATGAACAGAATGACACGATTTCAAGTTGACGTAAATAGTCTGTACTTTCAACAGACTTGAATCTAAAACTTTTTCAAATACAAAAACGTTTATATCACAGTTTGCTTTCATTATGTTAGTGATTAGACAAGAACATAATTGTTATATAAATATCCTGCCATTTCTGGGAAAGAAAGTAACCAAAGAGTTGGCGGTGGGTTATGTTGACAAGCTGCCTTCTCTATAGTTTATCACTGCTAAATTTGGGACGGCTAGTGCAGATGACCCTTAAGTAGTTTAGCGCGAAATTCAAAAATAAAGTAACAGAAAAAGGAGATAATATATTAATATGCTTTGACTAGCCATTAATGTCATCTGGTTATATGGCAAGGATCCACCAATGTTACATGGAACAGTATTGATCAGTTTTTCTAATGGAAACGCTAGACTATACTCCACTAGGACTGGAGTATAAAGACGTGTGGAAGAAACGCTCTTAGGATTTCTGGAGATTAATATCTTCATTATTTTCTTTAAAATATTCTGTTTTTTTTTGTTTTTTTGGATTATTCTGAAGATACAAAATATGGCTTGGGTTAATTTGCTTAGATTATATTATTTTATACTGGCTGTTGTTACTCGGCTAGGCTTAGTAATTGCATGTACTATTATTATAACTTCACTATTACTTTTAATTCCTTAACCTCTGATTCTTTATTTTGAAAATATAATTTCTTCATAACATTAAAAATCCGGAAAAAAAGAAAAACGGAAATTAGAAAAAATCTGCAACTTTTTATACCAGTCTACAATATTGTAGATTGTAATCTCCCCATTAATGAACATGGGGGTTAATATTGATTAGCCTACTTTAAATTCAATCTAGACATAGGAACGTTTTAGAATAAAGACTGAACAAGGGTTGTGGATCATACTGACGAGCTAACTATGATAGTTTATACTAGATATATATATATATATAAATATGTGTGTTTGTGTTGAAAATAAAAATAAGGTAGACAGAATAAAAAGGTGGACAAAATGAAAGAGAATTAAAATGCAAATCTGTTATAATAGTCTACAAGTTAACGTGAGGACTTTTTGCTATATAATAAGTACCAATTGACCACATGATTAGATACAGATTTAATTACCTGGCTAACAACTCAAGAATGACAGCTCCGTTTTAGTAGGCTACTGGTTCAACCACACACTTTCCTTATTATGTCAAACAGAGCTAGGAACAGAAGTTCTGAACAGTGGAGGCGGTTGTGTATTGCTTACAAATAATAATACGTGAAAATGTAGTCTTCAGACGGGTATTCATAGGAGTAATGGAGCTCCTGCTCTTACTCATGGATCTCGACTGACAAGCAGTAAAGAAAAATACGAAAACTGAGGTCTAAACATCGAATTGTTAAATAACACGTGCATAGAAATTGCACTACACTTGCGAGTTTCACGTTATGATAAGTTACTGCAATATCAAATGGATTAGGACGAGTCAAATACTACCTTGAATAGCTCTATAAGGTTTTTGGCATAATACTCTAAAGAGGCTAAATTCTCAGACCTGGGGGCTCAGTCTCAATGACTTTATTGTATACTACATGCCAGAGGTTGGGATGGCGTTTGCAGTTCTACACAATAACAACTTCCACCATGAATATTATTAAAGCTCTCTGTATATTAATCACCCCTTTAAGCTGCAAGCCATCTACATTGTTTGCCTGAAGGTACCCGCGTACATGCAAATCACCAATGTGAACATAAAAAGTTACACACACACACATCATACTGAAGATTAGAGATTCCTGTTTCATGTGTGTGACAGCATCCTGTTTATCTATTGGTAGCAGCCTTATGTCCTACTATAGATGTAGGTGTAAGTATTACTACCGATGGTTTACATTCTGATATACATAATATAGCCACCAATTTTAAACTGCTAAACATAGGTGAACCAACAACACTCACTGAGCACCAAGGCGACACAAACTTCTATATAGATGCTGGATTTACTAATCCTACCTTGAATGTCATCTTTACTTGTCATAGAGAACATAATACCAGCAGTGATCCTCTTAGATATAAGCTACATCTGAAGAATAGAAGGCATAAAACAATATAGATACCCATATAATGGGCAGTACTCCTACCCTCAGGAATCTCTCCTCCATCAAGGAAAATCAATCCGACATTTACAAAAGAAAAAAACCCATAATGATAGAACAGTTATGCTAATAAAGGATTAAAATAACATAATCAAACAGGGCTGTGTACATGGGGATATAGGACATGTGCTTTTACAGGCAAGCTGCTTCTAAAACATGAAAGAGGAAAAGGAATAAACTGTCAGAAAAGCCAATCTAAATACTCTCCATTCTAGTGCTTTCACAGTCTTATGGCAGGTAAATGTACCAAAAATATGTTTATTTCAGTCATTTATGGTGATTATAATACCTAACTACAATGGTAAAGACCAAGATAAATTAATCAACGTGGCCATAGTGATGTGCATAAGAAGCCCATGTTTACATCTGTCATATCTGAGCTAAAACTTCATGCATCTTCAATTTGGAAGAGATACACAGAGCCATAAATACATCTAAAGTTGGATCTCCAGGTTTGGATAGTGTAAAGATTTCTATCATCAAGACACTTACAGAAGCCAACCTCTTGGAGTTAGTTTTAGAGTATCAATGCAGTTTTGCAATGAGTAGCATACTTAAAATATAGACTGTTGTCATTATTAAATCCTTACCGAAATCTATGAATTGTCACTTTTAAAGGCTATGAAATTGTTGTTCTACAAATCGTCATTGACGAGATCCAAGCGACAACTTTCGCTGGAAGGTTTACTTATCAGATTAAACTA